TGGTAAAATATAAACTGCTACATAAATGCTTAAAAGTTCACAGCAATGCACACAAGGGCAACTAGATCAAAGATTACCCTTAGCCTGCAGGGTCTTCGGAAAGAGTGAACATTGTCTTCCTCACTTACTTTTTTTTCAGAGACTTTGTATTATTGCTCTTCTCTTACTTGCTTTCAGTCCTTGCCACTTCTCTAGATGTATCTTTTCCCATACTGATATATTTCTGTGGTTAGAGGGTTTTTAATTTTCATTCTGGGTGGTTGTGTCAAATATTACTTGGAGCAACAACTTTGAATTCCATTTCTTTTGCTCAGAAGCCCATTGGGGTTATGTGGTATTATGGGACAGACATTTTCTTTAAGGTGTAATTATGTGAATTTCACCCCAAACTCTCCAATATCAGAAACTAAAAACAACTCTGACAACATCTCAAACAGCCAACTTATCTGCTCCTCTATAGCCCCAAAGATACCTGGAGGGGTCAAATAAAGAAAGAACTTATATCTGTCCTAATGAGAATGATTACACCCTGGAGCTCCTTTTGAATCACTTTTACTTTGAACTGCTTGGGAAGCCATCCAGGAAAGAAATAGAAGTTCAAAGTCATCGAGTCAGTTTTATGGAAGTCCTCCTCCTTTCACACTCTCTATCCCTCAAATATTCTTGTCATAGAATCTCCTAGCCTGTTAGAGCTAGAAAGAACTTTAGAGACCATTTTATCCAATTCATTTTTATAATAAAAGATTGAAGGATAATGACTTCCTCAGTATTACACAACCAACCCATGGTAGAACTACGACCCAGGCTGGACACCTAATCTAGAATTAAAGAGGTTTTGTCTTGCATAAGATTCAAAGCTCCATAGGGAATGCACAGGCAGCAGCTTTATTATTAAGAGCAATGTGTGTAGAGGAGATTGAATGAAAGGCTTGCCTTGGAGATGGGTGAAGGCTACCTTATAGCCTTGTAAAGATATGAGAGTAGAGAAACATGGTAAGAGAGGCAGGAAAGGTACCGCTACTTTAGTGGGTCTGGGCCAAGAAGTGACCAGGGAAAGGAGGGGACTTACTAGGTGTACTGGTTAATAATGCAGATATTTTTAATAGCTGGAGTTGCATATATGTTGAAATATATGCGATTTGATATGTGTTCTATTTTGTTGTATTAACAACATGCTTCAAGACTTCATATGTCAAATTTTCTGAAGGTGTTAACATCATAGATATTTTTACATTTAAAAATGTCAAATTTTGTGCCAAAAAAAGAACATTTGTGGGAAGTTTGATGCTTTTTTATGATTATCATGCAAATTTGAAATTTGCCTCTTTGTGGTTTTTGTCAATCTCATCCAGCTCAGTAACATGACAAGGGAGAATCAGGATCAGCTTAAGATTGAATCACAGAGGGAACTAAGGCATCATGCCACAAAGTAAAGTACAAGTAATTGTGTAAGCAGAATTGATAAGCTTCAAACTCACAAGGGAAGTATAAACCCCTATAGGAGGTGTGCTGATTATAGGAGGAACAAGTTAGCCACACACATAGAACTGAGAAAAAAAGACTCAGGAAAGCATAATTACAAAGACATATAGAGAAAGACAGAGAGAGTTGAAGCCAGGTCAAGGAGAGGCTAGAATTTAGGTGGTGGTCAAGTGTGATGGATATGGTAGAACTGACAGTTTGGCTGTCCTGTCCTCAAAGTGAAGGGTGAGCCAAGCTGAATCCAGAGGTGGTCAAAGAAACCTGATAGAACAGTAGTTGCTCAAGGTTCATATAAAATGCAAATAAAACAAAATGTGTTATACCTGTACAATAAAATAGTATTTGGGGGGGGGGAATGAAGTAATGATGCATGCTGCAACTTGAATAAATATTCAAAAACATCAGCTAAGACGAAACCAGTTTGGCTCAGTGGATTGAGTGTCAGCCTGTGGACTGAAGGGTCCCAGGTTAGATTCCAATCAAGGGCATGTACCTTGGTTGTGGGCACATCCCCAGTAGGAGGTGTGCAGGAGGCAGCTAATATAAGTCAAGCTTGCTAATTTGAAGATTCCAACTAAATCTTGGAAGCCAATGTTTATCTCAAGCCAAGATGGGGTGGTTGTGGGGAGGTGAAAAGGACAAATGATAGGCTTATGTGGTACTCCCTGAGACTAGATCTGTGAAAACCCTCTACTCATTTATCTATCAATTGATTGTATTTATAAAAGATAAAAATGAAAAGGACGTGAAATGATTTTATTTAGAGAGACAATGACTTATTTAACATTTTAAAAATTTGAGAAATTGGTACATCTATAGTAGGGGGTTATAAATAGCTCTGATAGCATAGCTATATGGATATTTATATTTTCTTCAGTGTCAATATTTTTTAATCAAGTATCTCCATTTGTAAGTCTTATTCTCTATTAGGATCTTTGAACTTCATAAATTTTCTTGACTAAAAGTAAAATATTTTTAAATAAACACAAACCTAACCTATAAAGATAACAAAGTTACAATCCATTGACAATATGAAGCTGTAACTTTACTTAAGACTAAATTAAATGAGAAATTAAATGAAAAGCTCTGAAAAGGTTTTAACTATATATAGATGAGACATGCAGCACAAAACTAACCTTTATAAATGGTACAAATAGAGGGTACACACATCCTCAGGCTATAGAACTTCATATTATTAAATGTATATTGATAAGTAATTTTTTAAAAATCTAGTTTGACACTATTCCCTAGTCCCATCATTACATTAGGTCAGTAATTTAAGTATGAGTTAATTATAACCCGAGGGTACTAAGCATGAAAGAGTTACTTTCTGGACTACATTATCCTTATTCTATCTACAGATATGTTTGATTTCTTTTCTTCCTCCTTTCCTCTTTTTATTGTCTTCCTGTCTTCCTTCCTTTCCTGGAAAATAAATATCAATGATAAAAGTTGTTTAAAAAATATTTCTCAGAAGTATATAAATGGGAATATGGAATAATAGCTTTTCTCCATACCACAATACTTACTTTATTTTATTATTTTGTTCAATACCCTAAGATATATGAAGCTAGCATAATAAATAAAAATGTTTCAGTCAACAGGGCTCTTTTTAATGGCGCATAGGTACATTTAGCTAACTTTGAACCCATACAAATCTAACAGACTTTGGGTTCCACCAAGAGAACTTTCTTGGCCACAGGGCAACATCCTTCACAAAATTTATAGATCGGGCCTAAATGGGCAGTCGGACATCCCTCTCATAATCCAGGACTGCTGGCTCCCAACTGCTCACCTGCTTGCCTTCCTGATTGCCCCTAACCAATTCTGCCTGCCAGCCTGATTACTCCCTAACTACTCCCCTGCCAGTCGGATTGATGCCTAACAGCTACCCTGCCAGCCTGATTGCCCCTAACTGCCATTTGACCCAGTGATACCACTTCTAGGAATATATCCCAAGAAAACAGAAAGACCAATCAGAAAGGATATATGTGCCCCTATGTTCATAGGAGTGCAATTTACAATAGCTAAGATTTGGAAACAGCCTAAATGCCTATCAGCAGATGAATGGATTATAAAAGTGTGGTACATATATACACAGGAATACTATGATAATGTAAAAAAGAAGGAATTCTTACCATTTGCGACAGCATGGATGGATCTGGAGAGCATTATGCTAGGTGAAATAAGTCACTCAGTGAAAGATAACTATCACATGATCTCACTCATTTTTTGATAATAAAGAACATTATAAACTGTTGAATAAAAATAGACAGAGGCAAAGAAGCGTCAAACAGACTGTCAAACTACAGTGGAAAGGTAGGGGAGGATTGTGGAGGTAAGAGATCAACCAAAGAACTTGTATGCATGCATATAATATAAGCACAACTACCAGATGTAAGATACTGGGGGCAGGGGGACAAGGGAAAGTGCCGGGGGTACGGGAGGCCAGGGGTGAGGTCAGCGGGGGGGAAAAAGAGACATATATACTACTATTTGTAATACCTTAAATAATAAAAATATTTTAAAAAGAATGAATGAATGAGAAAAAATACACATACTGTTAGAGGCAGAGGGGCGCTAATACAACCATATCATATTTTAGATGGGGAAAGCAAGGTTCAGAGAGTTTAAGTCACTTGTCCTAGATTAAGCAACTAATAATCCATAAAAGATTCAGAACTCTAGTTCAGGTCTCTTCTGTACATCCTCTAAAATATAATACCACTTGTATAATACAAACATTTTTAAAAGCATGTTACTAAACTCCATGTGGTTTCCTAAGCATTCAGCCTCCCTGATTTAATTCCTTAATTGAAAGCTATTCCTTATACATGCAAAGCCAATTAGTCCATTAGAATGAAAGCTCTGTGAGGATGGGAAATTTTTCCTGTTTCATTCATTGCAAGGTGACTGGCAGTTAGAAGATTCTCAGTAAATATTTGCTGAATAAATGCATATATATTATTTCCTTTCCAGTTATTAGCAAATTCTTAATGGACAATGAATGTTAAAACAAACGTTACTAAGAAACACTCAAATAGTAAAATACTTCATTAAAATTGCTCAGGGAAATAGTACTCCTTTCCCTCCCCCCCTTTCTTCTTTCCTTCACCTTCATCACTAACGCAGAAAAGTAACTATCTATTTCAGAGGATTGGTATAAGGATAGAGTTAATAGAGACAAATACTTAGTATTGCGCTTAATATGTAGTTAACTCCAATAAATTAAAGTTACTAGTATGAATATCATTGCTTCTAATCAATCAATGAATATGGGCCAACATAATTAGGAACTGGAAGAAGCTAAGGATTGAATACATAATTCTCTATGTGCTTCAAAGTTCATAAATTCTGAGGTCTATGAGTTACAGAAAGCATCTGGCATGTCATAGATGCTCATATGTATGTTTTTCCTAGAAATTATCTTGTGAAATTAATGGAGGTAAAAGAAGACATAATTATCCTTGAGGTGCATATATGATAATTATTTCTCAAACACTGCTAAAAAAGATTACCTCTCCACAAGTTCCTGTCCATTCCAGCAAAGGGTATCATTCTCAGCCACAGGGCTATGGCTGCAGATGTAGCCAGGCAGAGCACTATAGAAGTTGATGAACGACTTCAGCTTCTGAATCAGTTCCCTGAAAGAAAAACAAAACATCTGTTCATAACAGGCAAGTAAACTCAGTATGAGAAAAGTTTAATTTCCTTATCAGCATGACAGAAAGGCTCTACCAGGCTGATTAGAGGAGTAAATGAGTTTTAAAGACATTCTTGGCTAAAAGGCCACAATTTTGTGGGTTTTTTTTTTTTTTTGGCAAAAATCAGTGTGTGTGTGTGTGTGTGTGTGTGTGTGTGTGTGTGTGTGGAGAGAGAGAGAGAGAGAGAGAGAGAGAGAGAGAGAGAGAGAGAGAGAGAGAGAGAGAGAGAGAAACACAAACACCCAACCAAATTTCTGGCCTATTTTCTTATTACTGATATACATGGACACAGAATGTAAAATATTACAGATTAGAGAGATGTGGATATGCTTATAGAGGAGTATTAAAATATCTATGCAATAAATAGCCAGTGGTAAACAAAAATAAAGCACTTTTTATTTTCTAAAGTGATATTCCTGGTAGAAAGGAAATTATAGAGTGCTTCATATCCAAGTCTATCTTAAGCCTCTACAAAGTTTTTGGAGACTCTGCCAAGGAATTTGATGGCAGTGGACTAATTATTCAATTCTGTCTCCAGGCTAAGAATGGATTCCTCTGATACATAGGTCTCTGGAGGAGCCACAAGTCTGAACCTCATTTGGACACTGATGGGAGTCCTAAGCCCAGAAAAGCTTTTTGGGGGTTGTTCTCAAATCTGGCCTAAAGTGGGAGACTGGTAGAAATTATTTTCTTATAACTAATGCCATTTTCCATTTTATTACCATAGAACATTTCATTTCAACCAATAATTTAAAAGACAGAGAGCTTATAATAATCAGCATATCTTTACAAAGGCTCGGATTACAGAAAAGGCAGGGTGATTGACAAAATAACTCAAGAAAGGTTATTGAGACATATATAACTCCTGATACCCCAAAAGTTGCTTTCTTCTATGCTCAAACCCATCACAGCTAACTCCTGGTGGCTGAATTCCATCAGTTTCCAAAGTGAGGAGGCTCAATACAGGGCTCTGAAAATAAAAGTCAACATTATAGCTTCTCACAGAGGAAAAAAGATGGGTTCAATTAATGCTAATAGGAGAGATGCTCTGTTTTACAAGGTAATAATACAGTCCCCAAGAGTGGAAACTGAAAGACTAAAGGCTGAGGCTGAGTAATTCTCCTCTCTCCATGAGGTAATGGAATATGGCCATTAGTCTATAAGAAGCAATGGTTCACTCTTTAATGAAAGAGTTTCCCTTAGGCCTCCTCCTACTTCAAACTCTCTCACTAAACATAGCACACGGCAAGAAAAATTGAACTCATAGAAAAACCTGCCAATTTGACTTCTCTAGAAGTTAAAAAAACAACAACACTCTGAACATCTCCCAGTCTCCTAACTCTTGTAATGATAAAGATCACCAAAAAACTGGTGAGGGTTAAGAAGATGAGGGGCTACGATAAGACCTCACACTTTAGTATGGAAGGATATTAATTGATGGGATCAAGATAAATGTACACACACACACACACACAATGAATGTGAATAATGTAACCACAGTCTAGGTCATCAAATTCTAGAACTCGGGAGAACCTTTTTTAAAGTTAAACAAGGTAACAGCGAAATAAAAGGCCATCCTACTTTATAGGGTACTCATTATCATCATAGAACATACAAGATGGACCTGGGAAGATAGTGAGTGTGTGTGAGTATGTGTGTGTGTGTGTGTGTGTGTATGTGTGTGTGTGTGTTTAAAGATTTTTAATTGATTTTTAGAGAGAAAGGAAGGGAGAGGGAGAAAGAGAGAACATTGATATGAGAGTGAAACATCAATTGGCCACCCTCTGCATGGCCCCTTACTGGGGATCAAGTCCACAAACTGGGCATGTGCTCTGATCAGGAATCAAACATGACTTCTTGGTGGATGGATCGATGCTCAATCACTGAGCAACACCAGCTGGACTATAACCTTTTCTTTTTGATAGAGTTGTTCATTGAGTTCTTTTTTATTCTTAGTGTATATTATTCCCATTAGAACCTGCTTAGAATCCAAGGTGAATTTTATTAGAAAAATTTTAAGAATAATGATATAAATGCCAGTTCTCAAATAATTCCTAGAGCCTATGGGATGAGATAGTACTTACCATTGGGAGAACAAAGAGTGGGGTACCAACACTTCTAAAAAACTGGCCAATGCTTTTGAGTCCTCAAGTACAGTGTTACATGCAGGCCATTCCTTCATGCAAAACCTTCTAACACTGTGAGAAAATAAACCTTGGTTTCCAAAAGAAAATTTGATTTTTTAAAATAAATCCAGAAATATTCTTTTGCAAGGTAGAAGAAAGACTTTCAAAACTGTTGGAGAAGGAATGAGCTTTACAAAAGAGAATGATGACAAGAGGTGGGTAATAATGACCTCTGATACCATAGCAGAAAGCAGCAGAGAGTGACGGGTATTACCTCCTACTAAGTTTACTGAGCCTGTCTAAGTTCTTCTCTTCATTGTCATTCTTTCCTAAATTTGCTCTGGCATGGGAATTAAGTGTATTTGTATTTTATTTTTATGTTTTCTTAAATGACACTTTCTATTGCCATGCTTACAATTTTTAAAGGAGATCAGTTGAATATTTTTATTTCTCTTTTTAAAGAAAGATAGCTGAAACTATCTTTCTTTAAATTAAGTGACTTAGTAATTACCCATTTATGCCGCAGTCAAGATTTCTTTTGTGCTAGTAACCCATGACAGACTACAAAAATATCTCCACCCATGAATTAAGGCAGCCTGCTCAACTGAATTGTCTCTGGAAAAAAAAGACAGAAATTTGGACAATTAGTTTCCCATGATGGGAAAAATAATTTGATTGAAGAACATGCTCTTTGATTCCAATTCCACTTTATTCTAATACATACATGCCAAACAAACTGTTTGACATATAAATAGTGGAGCCCATGGGACTCCACTTAGGACAAACCAAACACTTGCTTACAGCAGTCTGCTCAGGAAAAAAGAGTCTCTTCATAGAGGTTTCCATTCAATGTGTTAAATGTGGAACTAAGGGACTCTTTGCATTCATGAACCATTTTTGAAATATTGCAGCTGGGAGCACATGATCTTCCCTTGAGGGCTCTCACCATCCTCAAGAGGAGAGTTCCCAGATTGGGTTGTGGAGGAAGGTATTCCCTTTGCATTCTTGCAATGATTTGCTTGGGCAAGCATCAAAGCAGCACTAATTGGAAATCACTAAAAGTAAAAATAGCCTTTCATCCCAAACTGCAGATCCTGAACACTTCTTTATCATTAAGGTTATTTTTTTCTCAATATAAAGTAATATGTGATCATTATTCTTTAAAAATTTGAAAACATAGAAAAGCACATAAATTAAAATAGTTATAATTAAAATGTTGCAGGGTCATGCTTAATGCTGCTGCAAAGAAACCTTCACAGTCTGACCCCAAACTATAATTTTCTACCATTCCAAAGATTAGCCAATACTTTTTTCTCACACTGTTCCCTTTAACAGGATCACCTTTACTATCCTCTACCTGTTGAATTCCTACTAGTTCTTCAAGGCCCAGCTCAAAAGTCACCTTTTACAAGAAGTTTTTCTTGACTTTCACAGGAGAGCTGCTAACTTTCCCATCTATGATGCTGCCATACTTTTGTGCATAACTGTTTTTGGCACTTCCTCCTAATGTATGAAAAATATTTATTTGTGTATAAGTTTGCCTAACTAGGCTAGGAGGGGCTCCTCCTATTTATCACAGCCTAATCCTTACACAATGCTTGGCATATAGGTGGTGTTGATAAATGTTGAAAGAAGTAGAGTCCAATTTAGGGAAGAATGACTTGTACCAGACCCAAAAACTCATTGATTCACTCAGGACATACTTGGTTGTTTTGTTCAGAGGGTGGATGTCACATTGAACTTATAAAGATGCCTATCCAGACCAGAGCAATAATCTGAGAGGGATTGGGAGTCAGCATTGCTTTGGACCGGGGAGCTGAGATCAGCTTTTGTTCATTTCTTTCTAGGTAATTTACTAGTATCACCTAATCTATTGCCCCTATAGACCAAATCAGAGGGAAAAGGAAGGAGGAGGAGTACATGAAGGGGAAGGCTGGATGTAATTTCACAAGGGTGGAGGGACTGTGATTTTTTTCACAGGTCAATAGTTGGGCCAGAAGTTTGGTATATACATGCAGGATGGATTATTCAACTACAGATTTGGGGTTTCAGAAGGGAAAGATATTGCTTGTGTATTCTACCAAACTTTATGGAGGATATGCAAATGACAAGAAAAAATGGATCATAAGGGAAATGGTGAAAGAGACATTCAAAAGGGCAAAGAAGGAAGAAGATGACATCTGAGATGTGCTGAAAATATTAGAGTTGGAAAAGGCTACAAAAATCTCATTTCTATTGTCCTATCCTCATCATTTAAAATCTGACGATATTTTCAATATTGATACCTTAAAAGGATATTGGGTCCCATACATAGGCCACCAGTTGAATATCAAATCACCCTTAAATTCAACTTATTTATTCTAAGATTAGTTGTGTGTTGCACAGTATCCAGCTGGGGGCAGACAAAACAAACAGATGACTTCTGAATGTTACAAAAGGAAACCTGCATTTCTTTGTGTGCTGTTATTTTTAATAAGGCAATGGGCTTTTCAACCCATAATCAGACTAAGACAGCTTGCTCACAACCTCCACCGACTGAATGCTTCAATAGGGTTTCTTTCCAATTATTATTTTTAATGACAGAGGTTGGAGTTTGAACATAGGTGTGAGGGGTGCTGGCAGCACATACATTGTACTGAACATTGTAAAATGCTGTGCAGGACATACTGAGAAATTTACAAATGTACTTACACTGCCAAAACAAGCCCTTAATAACATCAGATTGCAGGGAGCAGTGCATTTAGCCAGAGATCATCTTAATCCCCACTTCTTTTCTTTTCCTAAGAGGTTTTACAATGCCTAGTTGAGGGAGTTATATGAAATTGGACACTCTTTTGCTGTTTTGTTTTCTTATTCTGCCAGAGAATTCAGAAAGAATGGCTCCCACAACAGACTCTAAGGATTCACTTTACTAAAAAGATGAGAAGCATCATGGGTCAGGCTCATATTTCCAATACCCAAAGGAGCCCTGCCTGACCACTTACTCAAGTCTGCAGGCTTTGGAATTTTTCTTATTATCCTTTCTTTTCTTTGGGGGTAACAATAAGTTCAAAAATGAATATAAACAAAATGCCAAATCTGAGTGCCCAGCTAAGAACCCATTTATCAACTTGTTTCTCCCTAGAAGTATCAACACCCACAGAGTCTTCTCTTTCCCTCCACAGAGCCCAAGATAAAAGGCATGGCAGAAAGGCCTTATGGAACCTCCTACTTACTCAAAACAGTGTCCAAGTAATTTCAAAATGGGACTGCTAGAGTGTTTACTTTGAAAAAGTTCTGCATAAGATTCTGTTATAAATCCATATGCCACCTCCTCCATGAAGCCTTCACCAGAACTCCCTGAGCAGAGAGGTTTTCTCTGTTCTAATTGGCTGCTTCTGTATACTCTGTACATTCTTTTGCATTTACAAACTGTTTAGGAATTATTTGTATTTAAGTCCATTTCCACATTACACGGATTTGGAAAGCAGAGACTGTGTCTTGATATTTAGTGTCCAGTATATAGTCTGACACATAATAGGTGTTTTCTAAAATTCTGCTGGATTGAATAAAAAGTATATTGCACTTAGAATTTATATTTTATTTATATGTAATTAATATATAATATTATATAAATTACTTGCTTCAGTCTAATATGCAAGGAATTTCTGCCAGTTAAAGATCAATGACAAGTTAATTCCTCATTGGTTTGGGCAAAGAGTGAAAGCAATGGTGAAAAATGGACAAAGGACTGTCAGGAGTTAAAAACAAAACAAACAAAGAAAAAAACCTGGAGAAATGGTCTAATTTTGCCTTCCCAGAAACACAAAAACTTCACAGAGATCCTTCATGCCACAGGGAAATGATTCTCAAATAGTTTGGTGCTAGGAACCTGCGGTGTTTTTTAAATATGTTCACACATTCTTTGATACTATTTCATTCAAGTGGTGGAATTTAATTTCCCTCCCCCTTAAAAGTAGACTAGAATTTGTGACTCACATTTAACAAATCAAGCATGTTAGAATTGAGAGTATGTCACTTCCCAGATTAGGTAATTAAAAACAACAGCTTTCTCCTTACTGTCTTCCATGGATCCCTTATTCTGGGGAAGTTGGAGGCTATGTGGTAAAGATACACATGAGGTCCACGTGGTGAGGAACTAAAAGCTTCCTTCCAACAACCAGCACTAACTTGCTAAAGGTATAAACCACCTTGAAAGTAGATCCTTCATTCTCAGTTAATGCTTCACATGACTGCTAGACCCAAGCAACATCTTGATTGAAATTTCCTTAGAGTCTGAGAACCACCCAGGGAAGCAGTTCCTAAATTCCTGACAGAGACTGTGATATAATGAATGTTTGTCATTTTAAATCACATTTTGGGGATAATTTGTTGTACAGCACTAGATAACTAATACAGCCCTTAACACTCTTAAAAATTGTTGAGGACCCCAAAGACCTTTTGTCTATGTGATATATATCTATTGATATTTGCTGCTTTAGAAATTAAAACTCAGAAAAAACTTAAAATTTTATTATTGCCATTATATGTTAACATAAATAACATTTTTATTTTTAAAAAAAGCAAGAAAAATGATATTTTTTGCATTTTTGCAAAATAACTTTATTGGCTCTCATAATAGGAGACAGATAAATTCTCCACTGGCTTCTGCATTTAATCAGCTGCAATTAAAATATATGAACAAAAGCCAGCTTCATAGAGATATATAGTTATCAAAAGACTGATTACTACATAGACCTCCTGAAAGGTTCTTTGGGTCTCCGTGGGTCCTTGAATTATATTTGAAAACTACTGCCACAGAGAAACTAGGAATCCATTAGCTTGAAAGTCAACAAAAGAGAAGAAAATTGAACTTCCTGGTATCCTCCCTTACCTTACTATATTCTCTCACTCTAAACTGTATCATATATGACTAGAAATTGCCATTTCAAAACCTCCTGTAGTAACTGGATATGAATGAAATAATTTAGCCCATATCTGAGATGTTACTTATTTCATCTCTTAAATTTCCATCTGTAAGCAAATGTCTCCCAATATCCTTGAAGTCATCAGGGAGCGGATCTTAAGCCAGTGGTGCATTAGCTGTATTGCTTTTGGGGAAGGAAGGCAATTCTCTTAGATTTGTGTTGGGCTTCCTATCAAATTTCTACCCCTTATTGTGAACATGAAACAAGAATTGTGAAGAGGGAAGCTGGATGTAGGGAGGAGGAATGAAGAGAATAATACAGTCTTTAATTGAGTTCCTTAAAACTGTTATCTTAATAAATAGGAACAGGATCTTACTCATTTTATCATTCTTAAAAGAATGTGTAGTGTGCAGTATGTGTATACACATGAGTGTGTCTTGCCATTTTCTCTTTGGCAAACTCATCCTGGACTCTGCTAATAATGGGAAAAGCCAGAAACCAAGCAATGGAATTGTGAGATCAAATCACAAGCAAAAATATTTTATCAATAAAGATCTTAAATACAGAAGTCCATTCCACCCTGCATTGCTATAATGATATTTACATATGGTCAACTTATATTTAAATATAGCTTGGATCTAATATAATATCTTTTTTTAAAAAATACTGACAGATGATAGAATGTAATTAAACAGAAACTCTACTCAGGAGGACTAAATAATATGTATTAGAAGCTTCACTCCAATGTTTTTTGGACCTTATAACACAATTGCTAATTGTATGCTCAATAGAGGGAGGAAGCGGGGAGGGCAGAGACTCACTTTCTGCGGCCAGACAGGGTTTCTTCACGTTCCACATGAGCAACTTTCAGTACCTTCTTGTCAACAAACAGATCTTCAGGATAATAAGCAGATCTATATTGGCGTTGTTGAGTATGGGCACACAACTTTCCAATCTGAAAAAAAAGCAATATAATTATATGATACTTTCACAGATATGATAGTTCAAACAAATTCTGTAATGCACTTCAATTTCCCCCCAATTTCTTTTTAAACAGCAGAATTAAGATATTACTGGCGTAAAAAAGATGGTATGTTTTTAAAGGGAAGAACCATCTATGGAAAAGAATGTTGAAGACTGGGGGTGGAGGCACTCTAAGTGCAGCCTATTTAAGATTTTCTAAGCTAAAAAATGTGTGTTTTATTTTCCCTAAGGTGAAGTGCACATTTGAGAGGACCCTCTACACAGGGCTTATGCCACTGATACCTTTTAATAGCACTTGGTATTTATATGTATAAAGAAGTTCAAAGTGGGCATTGCAAAATTTAGGTAGAAATAGTGAAGATGACGGGTGTATGAGAGATGTGTAAAATAGTCAGTTATAGAAGAGCAGTCACAGAATGCTCTCCATTATTATGAGCAGCCTATATAATAAAGAGGTAATATGCAAATTGACTGTCATGCCCTCACAAGATGGCTGCCTACAACCAGGCCAGCAGGGGGGGGAGGTTAGAGAGGAATGACCAAACGACTGAATAAGCAAGCTGCACGGGCTACCAGGCCAGCAGAGGGCTTAGTGAGGGATGATAAAACGACTGAATAGCAGGCTGTATGGGGCAACCAGGCCAGAAGAGGGGGACAGTTGGGGGCAACCAGGCTAGCAGGAGGAGCAGTTGGGGGCTACCAGAATGGTGGGGGGGCAGTTAGATGCAACTAGGCCAGCAGAGGGGGGCAGTTGGGGATGACTTGGCTGGCAGAGGAGGGCAGTAAGAGGGGATCAAGCCAGTGGGAGGGGGGGATTAAGAGTGACCAGGCAGACAGGGAGGACAGGTGGGGGCAACTAGGCTAGCATGGGGGGCAGTTGATGGCAACCAGGTCAGCAGGGGGGATCAGTTATGGGTGACCAGGCTGGCAGGGGGGGCAGTTAAGAGTGACCAGGTCGGCAGGGAGGGGGCAGTTTAGGATGACCTGGCTGGCAGTGGGGGGCAGTTAGAGGTGACCAGGCTGGCAGGGGGGTGCAGTTGGGGGTGACCAGGCTGGCATGGGGGCAGTTGGGGGCAATGAAGCTGGCAGGGGAGGCAGTGAGGGGTGACTAAGTCGATGGGGGGCAGTTGGGGGTGACCAGGCCAGCAGGGGAGCACTAAGGGGTAATCAGGCTGGCTGGGGAGGGTATAGTTAGGAGTAACCAGGCCAGCAGCAGGGGGCAGTTAGGGATGATCAGGCTGACAGGGGCGGGGGCAGTTAGGAGCAACCAGGCAGGCAGGCAGGTGAGTGATTAGGAGCCAGAAGTCCAGGATTATGAGAGGGATCGGACCTAACCCGGCAGTCAGACATCTCCCAAGGGGTCCCAGGTTGGACTGACAGGACCCCCCACCCATGCAAAAATTTTGTGCACTGGGCCTCTAGTTTTGTTATAAGACCTAAGCTAGGGCATTCTAAAAAAATGTCAATATAGTTTCTCATCTGGCTTGCCTATAAATGACCAAGGGAAGGAAGAAAGCAAGCCAACAAATCAATAGCCAGGATTATTGGCTATGAATCACATATAATTACATAAGCCTAGTATTGAAAGTATTAAAGACTGTTGGTTCTTAAGGAAGTATATCTTCTTTCCTCTCTTGCTCTTTAATCCCTCCTGCTGTACCTAACTCTTTCCGTTTCTTCTTCCTTCCCTCTATCTATTCATTTGTTCATTCAAAAATACTTATTGGATGCCACCCTCTAAAGCTTAGCTCTTTTACAGGCATACAGCAATAATATAAAAGGATGCTGTAGCTTTAAACTTAGTTAGTTGAAGTGAATTTATTGGACAGGTGAGTGTCTCTATCAATAGACTTGGAAGAGAACACTTTTCTGTTTTCCATGAACTGTGATTTCTAATGATGCCTTTATTCATGTGCCACAACCGGTGGTAGGAATAGCAATAGTTCTATGAAGTGTTATGACACTCGAAACACAAAAAGGCAGGGCTTCTGACAGTATCCAGGACAGCAGGTCATTCTAGTAACCTTAGCACCATTATTTTTTAACCAGGCCCCAGAAGTACTGGCTTTGTACAAACACAAGGAGAATACACTGTTGGGGCCCAGCAAGGTATAGTGAAGAACTCGGTAGAATGAATATCAAGAGAACTGACCTGCAACCCCACTTCTTCCTCTCACCCATAATAAGTTTTTGTTTTGTTTGTTTTCCATGATACATGATTTATATATTATATTTTGTGCCCACACTCAAAAGACAACTCATCTTCCTGTACCATATATTTGACCCTCTTTATTCTAGTGGAGTGATTGAAATGTAGCCTGCCAGGTAAGACTTACTAAACCATACTAATGTACTGGATACCAAGTGGTGTGGGAGACATGTCTCCTCAAGCAGGTCCTCATTGCTGCCTGCAGGATAACCCCAAACCATGATTCTGGAAGTTAGATTCTTGCATTGGCTACAAAATCTGTAATTCCTACAATCAAATCCAGATTTAGTCTGATATCTGGGCTGAGTATATGCTTTATAATTTCCTCCCAAAAAAATTAATCCTAAGGCTACAAAAATGCACTGGGTTTAAGCCTTTAGCTTGATAGCCAAAAGATATGAAAATGGGGATGGGAGGGTGAACCTTAACAGATTTATTTTTCTCTTGATTAAAAAAAAAAAAGATGAATGAAAGCCTTAACATTTTCTTTCTCAAGAATATATAAAAGGAATGTATGTGTATTTTAACTTATATGGCTCATAATAGAAGAAGGAGGAGGTGGATGGAGGCGAGAAGCAGAAACAGAGAGGGAAACATTCCCATTAGTGAGTCTGCAGCACAAGAAGAACCATGGACACATCATATTGCCCTTGAAAATCTGACAGCTTTTGAGAGAAAAGATGAATCTCCCACTGAACTTTACTCAGTAATCAGCCCAACTCCTCCCCTTTGACGAACTGCACCTGAGGCCACCAAGACTTGAGGGCATCTAGAGGGCTTTTCAGTTATCTATTAAAGCCCAAGTGACCATCTGACTATTAGACTGTTCATCATTAGCTATGATGTGCAATGACCACTAAGGGGGCAGATGCTTTGACCAGTGGAGGAGGAAGCCTAATTCTTCACAGAATCGGTCATGGGTTAGGTTGCTGCTGGGGGACTGTTGCCCCAAATCTGCTTCACCTGCAACCCAAACCCAGAGAGGTTCCTCAGCCTGGCCTGTGGGGATTGGCCGAATCCAGCTCTCCAACATCCCCTGAGGGGGTCTCAGATTACGAGAGGGCACAGGTCAGGCTGAGGGACCCCACCAGTGCATGAATCTGTGCACTAGGCCTCTAATCTATAATAATAAAAGTATAATATGCTAATTAGACTGGGCAGCTGAACGACCTTCTGGACATCATTCTGGACATCCTTCTGGACAAAGCCACAGCAGCTGGAGTGAGGCAGTGGGGGCCAAGGCAGAGATGGTTAGGGGCGATCAAGCAGGCAGGTGAGTGGTTAGGGGCAACCAGGCAGGCAAGTGGGTGGTAAGGGGTTATCAGGAAGTGGTTAGGGGTGATCAGGCAGGCAGGTGAAATGTTAGGGGTGATCAGGAAGGCAGGAAGAGTAGTTAGGGGCAATCAGGCAGACAGGTGAGAAGTTAGGGGAGTTAGGAGTGATCAGGCAGGCAGGCAGAGTGGTTAGGTAGGGGTGATCAGGCAGGCAGGCAGAGTGTTTAGGGGTGATCAGGCAGGAAGGCAGGCAAGTGGTTAGGAACCAGCAGTTCCAGATTGCAAAAGGGTGCAGGCTGGGCTGAGAGACACTTCCCTCAGTGCATTAATTTTGTGCACCAGGTCTCTAGTATTAATTATATAACTTTCCTACTAGATTCCAACTGATTATTATGGTCCCAAGGTGTGCTTTTCTGAGAACTGTTATGAAGTAATTTGTATATAATATATTTAATCTTTGATCATTGATAGATTAATCAGAAACCTGAAAATTAAAAAATAAAACTTTCTGTATGGTTTTGCATTTTAAATATCAATTCTGATCTTCTGATCCATTCTGGAGGAATAGATGTGTTAGGTACAGGAATGTGGTAGAATGGAGTGGGGTTGGAATTCCATAGGTTTTCAATTAAAATGAAACCAATTTCATTCAGTTAAATTGTCTACTACACTGTTATTCAATTTCATTTAATTAAATCTTAAAACATTTATTACAAAATATATATTGAAATGATGTGATTTACAAGAAAAACTTCTTAATAGTAGTAACCATGCCCATTTGACAATTCTACAGGTATAATAAAAATGCTAATATATGTTAATGTTTAGTCTGTGGTTAATGTTTTGTCTTGTTAATTTCCCCAGGGCTTTTATTACTGATTTAAATCTGCCACATTACTCAACTGTTTGCATTGCTTCCCCAAACTGCATAGGAAGTAGCTCAAATGAACACTGATTAACAAAAATGAACGAACATTTGGCTGGCAAACCATTCTTATTATATGCTTGTAATCGTTACATACATTTTTTAAAATAAAGAGATGGGCATGACAGGCATTTTTCATTCATTTTTCCTACAGAAAATATGCATATTAGCATTACATTAACTTATAACCTTGTACTTCAGGAAACACATCATTATGAATTAATTATTGATTGTTCTGGAAATAGAGCAAAGGATAATGAACAGATCTGGTGACAATGTGTTTTTCCCCCACAGATATTTTGCTGTGACTCATCAATTGCTTGACCATTAAAATGAAAGTTCACTAGTAGTAATCTGTAGTGTACTAGTATTATGAATCAAGATATTTTAAGAAATTGGGTGCCAGTACTTGAAAATTCCACTCAAGTCAGCTTTTTCAATAAATTGCAGTCCAAAAAAAAAAAAAAAAAAAAGGGTACTAATGTCCTACAGATTGGTCCACTATTAAGTTGAACTACAGCACTATAACATGCTGAAAGGAGCACAAATATTGTTGTCTTATT